CTCCCGCCGCCGAGGAACATCACTCTTCTCCAGACCCCACATATCCGCCAGAACCTAGCCGAACTCATCGATCCGAGCACACTCATATCAGTCGTCCTACGTATGATCATTACTCGGTTCGACGACACCCCTTTGTTGATGGAATCATGGAAATTCCTCTTCCACTCGCTTGGAAGATGTTAAACATTGAACGATATGATGGAACCACTGATCCTGACGAGCACATCGATGCATATGTCACCTAGATCAATTTGTACACGAATGATGACGCCTTCATGTGTCGTGTATTCCCAACCTCACTCAAAGGCGCTGCTCTTAGTTGGTACACCCAACTACCACCCAGATCGGTTGATAGCTTTGATACCTTGGTGCGCCTTTTTTCTGCCCAATACGCCACCAGCAGACCCCACCACATCACATCAGCCGCGCTGTCTAACCCGCGACAACAAGATGACAAGTCCTTGAGGCATTTTATGGAACGCTTTGCCAACGTTTCCATAAAAATCCGTAACCTTAATCTTGAAGTCTCCCTCCATTCTATGCTTATGGCACTCAAACCAGGACCTTTTGTTGATAGCCTTTGTCGACATCAACCAGCAAGCATGGATGAACTTAGAGCACGCGCGGCCAGATACATCTAGATGGAGGAACATGCTGAGTTCCGCAACCATGTACGAGATGACCTCACTACCAAGGGGGAGTCAAGTAGCAAGGAGAAGCCGAAAACCCATTTCGACCAGAGATCAAAAAGACCTCGTCAAACACGAGGTCCCAGGTATGATTTTTATACACCCTTCAACGCTCCTCGAGTTAACATTTTAGAGGAGGCTAATCATGCAGATATGATCTCCTTACCCCCACCGGCACACAACCCGGTCAACGTTGACAAGAGCAAACATTGTCGCTACCCCAGAAATTATGGACATACAACAGAAGAATGTTGGAGCCTCAAAGACCAAATCGAAGAACTGATTCAGGCTAGCCAACTTGGAAAATATGTCCAACGCGGTCAAGCCTCTCGAGGAGGTTTCCGAGGACGTGGCAGAGGACGAGGTCGATATCCAAACCGATATCAGGGACGGTACCAGAACTACCAAGGCCGATTTGAGCAAAGCAACTACCATCAAACAAACACACGTGAGGAGAAGATCAACCGAGGAGACCAATCTCGAAGGCCGACTTCGTATAATCTCTTACAAGACCAAGATAACGAAGGTGACCTATCCGAGCTGAAGAACCGACCTGATTCTTGTAAGTACATTATATAACCAAACAATGCTTAAGTGTTTTAGATTCAAACATAGGCAAAATTCAATTAGTCAAATTTATTGAATAACTACTACTCATAATCCAAAAAAATATTCTTAAAATAATAAAAGATAACACTTTCTACAATAAATGTAATTAAAAATATTTTAATATAATATATTTTATATGAAATCGTGAAAACTAAATGTAATTAATTATTTATCATAATTTTTTATCTTTTGATGTGTTTGTTTCAATATTTTAAAAATTGAACTAGTTAGGATACTTGATCAGTGAGTTAAGGATTGAATCTACGAGTCATTCATTGAATTACATAACCTAATTTATTAATTTTTTAAAACATATTTATGTCATATACTTATAAATTTTAATAAATAAAACATATTGGTATAATAGTTATTAAAGTGATAAGTAATCATATTCATCATAGATAAAGTTTCATTTTATCCAAAATTACCTTTTATATATTTCTTTTGTAAGGAAATATATAATAAAGTATTTTCTTATAAAAAATTAATCATAAAAATTATTAGATATAAAATATATATATATATATATATATATATATATATATATATATATATAAGGTATACTTATAAAAAACTAATATGATCTAGTGATCATTCAAACAGTTCATTAAAAACATAATTTTAAACTTGTCGAGATGTATATCAATTTAAGTTAATAATTTGATTAGTTGTGCATGGAAGATATATTGGACTTTAAATCATTTAATTGGTCCAAGTAATTTTTTTTTATCTAATTTGTTATCTCTTTCTTTTGAACTTTTGTATTTTTTTAATGCATTCAGTCATTCAAATATTAATTAGTTTGTTTAAACTCAAAATGAATAAAATTATTCAAGTTTCAAATAATTTAAATATTATAATAAATATTTTTAGGTACATAATATAAAAAAAGTTACAAACTATATTTTCAATTAAAATTTTGTGTGCATCAATAATAAAAATTAAAGACGAGTCAAAATAAATTTAATTTTTAAGTTTAAATGATAATTATTTTGCTCAAACAATTGGATTTGAATTTCAATAAATCTAAAAATTCAAATAAAATTTGATCAAAATTAATGTTTTAAACCATATTTTTAATTTGTCTAAACAAATAATTCATTTAAATTTATCCATTTATTTCATTTTATTTTTTGATTTTTTCATTTGGAATCGAACCTCGGGTTGGTATTCACCCCCTCCCTCAACAACATGACAATCTAACCCTATAGATACTAGCCCGAGTCCGTCTTGATTTAAACGAGAAAAATTCGTGTTTATTAAATTCTGTTTCGAGTTTTTCTCGATTGATAAAATTGGGGGTAGGGACGGGGACGAAAATGTTAATACTCGCCTCATCTCTGTCCACGCCCTACTTAATAATATAATTAAAAAATTACATATATATATATATAAATCAAAATTAGAAATTTATATAACCCCAAGCGTGTGGTTCAGCGGTAGGGGTTGATCCACGCTTAAGCAAGGTCAGGGGTTCGAATCCTGCCTTGTGTATGCAGCCGCGTTAAATCTTGGGGCCAGCTATCCCACCCTTTGAGGTGCCTCCAACGTAGCGAGGAGATTAGCATACTCCAAGAACGAACCTAAAAAAAATTAGAAATTTATATATAAAAATTTGTATTATTTTATTTTATTTTATTTTTTTAAATTTGTTCATATTTATTCTAAAGAAATAAAGGTAGGAGCGGGACGGAAAAATTTGAACCCGCCAAGAACAAGAATCCAAATTTTACCCTAGTAAATATCGGTGAAAACAGAAACGATTTAAATCTCCCGGACTGAAGACGGAAAACATAAAACCTGCCCTGCAGGTTGCCATGCCTAGGCGTCATGTCAAAGCACAACACAATGGGAGGTGCACTTCCAAGGTTACAAGTGCGCTTACGAAGACTCCGAAAAACCACTAGTTCATCCGCACCGATTTGAACGGATTTATACCGATTTTAACTAATTTAATAACCTCTCTTTCGATTAAATACACAACCAATCAATCAAATTATCAGTTCAAATTGGTATGTTGCTTATGTCCTCTTTCAACCGGCTTCTCTAAGCTGAGTTTTAAAACTATAATTTGTTTAATTTTTTTAAAATATGTATTTTTTTTAAAAAAACAACTCTTATTTGCTTAAAGTTTTTTTTTAATTTTTAAAAACACTTATTGAAAAACATTTCTTTTTAAATTTAAACAGGATACTCATTCTAATATCAAAGAAACTTTAAAATATTCAACACTTTCTTTTTACTCCAATAAAAGAAAGATTTAAAATTATCCTTTTAATAAACCTTTTTTAATTTACTTTTGTTCGATAAAGGTCAAAGGAGCTCAGAGTATCCAATAAATTTCCAGGTAATATAATAAGTACATATAGCATTGATTGTTGTATGTATTAAGTCTGCTATTTTATTTCTTACAGAAATTCTAACATGAAGCAATATGAAAAGTGATACATTAATAAAATATCATTTTTAACCATTAGATTTAATAATAAATTAATCAACGGTTTAAATTTGTTACATGTAATTTGTTTATAGATATTTTTGTATTTTGTAGATTTGTCCCCGTTTAGGGTTACTGTTTTGGCCGTCGACAGGTGGTGAGAACGAGGAAGATGACAGCGGCGAGTGTGACGGTGAGAACGTCGAGGGCGAGCCAGGGGCGAGGATGGCCGGATTTGGAGGTGGCGAGGTTTAGGATTTAGGAGAGGCCCTGGGAGAGTTGAACGTCGCAGACGACGAGAAGGGAGAGGTAGCGGCAGAGGAGGGACATGAGGTCAGTAGCGCCGAGGAGGAGGAGGCCGCACCTCCGCTGCCACCGCGCGAAGAAGGAGGTCGCGCCTCCGTTGCCATCGCGCCACCGCTTGAAGGAGCCCACACCTCCACGCTGCCACTGTGTGAAGGAGGTCACGCCTTCACTGCCACCGCGCGAACGAAGTCGCATTTCCGATACCACCGTGCGAAGGATCCCGTGCCTCCGCACTACCACCGGGCGAAGGAGGTTGCGCCTCCGCTGCCACTGCACGAATGAAGTCACGCTTCCACTGTCATCGCTTGAAGGAGCCTGCGCCTCCACGCTGCCACTGCGCGAAGGAGATTGTGCCTTCGCTGCTACTGCACGAAAGAGGTCACGCCTTCGCTGCCACCACCATGGAAAGAGACGACACCTTTGCTGCCACCGTGCCTCCGCCGCCACCGCACCTCCACAATGCCTCCGCATATAATGTAAAGACTATTTTGCAATTTTAAACAAGTTGGAAAACTTGCTATTGCAGGTCATTTTACTACCTCACGAACGAGGCATTTATTTCAATGTTTCATGTTAAAACAGTTCTATTTCTTATCCTTCCGTATCCATCTTTAATTTCAAGATAAAGATGCATAAATGTACAATGTTTACTGACATCTTGAAAACATAAAAGAAAGAAATATAAACAATAGATGGTGCGATAAGATGAGAAATATATATTAAAAAAATTGCTATAGTGGCACAAAGATAAGGAAGTTGCACAAAGTCATAAAAATTTACACTGGCAGAATACGGAAATGCATAAAGATAAGGAATAATGTTGGGTGAACATAATGCTAATTTAATTATTTAGAGAAATAATAATATGAGATATGATACGAGAAAGAGAAATTTGGATTCTCTCCTGCAATATTCTCTCTCTAGCCTCTCTCCAGCAATATTAATAACCATTAGATATATCTAATGACTCAAATGGGAGAATAATAAAATTGAAGAGGCATCCCTCAAGTACACAGTTACAACATATACAAGTTATGCAATCAAATAAAAAGAACTTAAACTAGGCACTAATCTATCTATAATCAAGAAATGATACCAAATGTGTGGGATTCCATGACTTAGTGGTCATGGGTTAACATTATAACTAACCAAGGACAAAAAGTGGATCTGATCTCGCAGCATCAAACAGGGAAGATGTTCCATCCTGCTCTTTCATACGAATTCCATCAACCAAATTATGAGTTCCGATTAATCAATCCACAGTACATGTCAACAACAGAATGAGGTGGTTCTCATCGGTCTCAAATACATATAACCTGTATTAGCAAAAAAAAAAAAAAACCTAACAGAATGACGTAAATGCACAATTACACATACAAAGTGGTGCAAGCACACACCACCACAACAAGCATACAATAATATCTGAGGTTTAGAGTTTAATTACTTATTTTGTTTGTATATGTTTACAGATTTTACATTTTTAAGTTCTTACACTTAAAAATTACTCATTTTAATTCCTATATATACACTTTTAATCCATTTTAGTTCATACACTTTTGGAAGATAAAGGCCTAAAATGAACTTAAAAAAATGTATTTATTAAGAACGTTTGTTTCAAGGTATCAAATTGTATTTGCGAAAACCACTTTTCCTAGAATATTTTAACCGGAATGTTATTCCCAAGTATATTTAGAAAAGAAAAAAAGATTATATATTGATAGTATAAAGATTACACGATCATCCAATTAGAGACCACTATGAATAATAAATTTGTTAATTTTTACGATAACTATTATAGAAGTTATACAAACATTGATTTAAGATTGATTTGTTAATTTTTACGATAACTATTATAGAAGTTATACAAACATTGATTTAAGATTGATTGACAGTGTAAGACTTTTTATACTAACAGTATATGATCATTAAATTGTTTAGAATATTTTTAAATATTTAAAATAACATAAATAAAAATTAATTAAAAACAAGTACAAATGTGTTGGGATGTAACTTTCAATATTTTCACGAAAATATATTCCCACACTCATGGGAATCAAAAGAGAAGAAATATGGTAAGAAAACACCCCAAAAAATTGTTGTGCAGCGGGAGTTACCACACACATACACATGTCTTTCACATTGATGTGATATTTCATGAAAACACATGTTTAGAATATTTTTAAATATTTAAAATAACATAAATAAAAATTAATTAAAAACAAGTACAAATGTGTTGGGATGTAACTTTCAATATTTTCATGAAAATATATTCCCACACTCATGGGAATCAAAAGAGAAGAAATATGGTAAGAAAACACCCCAAAAAATTGTTGTGCACCGGGAGTTACCACACACATACACATGTCTTTCACATTGATGTGATATTTACCTCTTTGGGCTCGGTCCTCAAGTTTTGCTTTTGGACATCACCCAAAATACCTCTCAACCAATAGAAACAATTGTATGTATATAAATTCATGTTCATCATCTTGCTGGAACGATGTGGGACTTTACTTGCATCCCAACAAAAATAAACAAAACACAGGAATCATTTTCCAAAACTTGTAACAAACATGTGAATATTACATTCTCACACTCATATTTCCAATAATATAATTTGATACCTTGAAACTGACTCGTCATAGGAATTAAAGTGAGTAATTTTTAGATGTAGAGACTAAACATAAAGATTTTGCAAGTATAAGGACCAATTGAGATACTTCAGTTCCAGGAGAAATATTGAACATATTAAACAAGAAAAGTAATGAAATATTTCCAAAACAAACCATCAATTTGGTCCCGGAAATATAACACTCTGTCCCAAGTAACCCTTAAAGTAATGAAATTATATAAACAGTTCCTAAAGTATAAGAAATCATGCTACTTAGTCCTTCTATTTTGAAAACTCATTCAAATTAGTCCATTGACGTTAGTAAAAATATATCAATATAGGAACTAGATTGCTCGATTTTCAATACTTTAAGAACTACTTATACAAATTAATTATTTTAAGGACTGTTTAAAAAAGAGAGAAATACTTAGAAGACCAAATTGATGGCTTATTTGATATTTTCCTATAAAGTTTTTTTTATTAAATTAAAGGAAAAACCTAAGTTAAAAACCAATGCAAAATATATCAAGTACTCTCTCCATCCCATAATATGTGTAATCCTAATTTATTTTACATAGACCAAGAAAAGACCATAAATAGATAAAAGAGAAGAGGATGGTTCAAACGATACGGGTGTAACTTTAACTAAGTGTTACACCGCTCAATAACTTTATATTAAATGTGAATTTTGTAAATCCAACCGTTAGATTGAAAATTCATATCTCTTAGATCATATATGTCAAATTTTATATTAATATAAGATGATTTGATACTTCATTCTCATAAAACAAAATTGACGTAATATATACATTTCAAAATATACTAAAATATGAACACTTTGATTACCTTCAAGTTGTTGTTCAATTTTAACAAAATTTGACATATATGATCTAAGAGATATAAACTTTCCATCTAACGGTTGGATTTACAAAATTCACATTTAATATAAAGTTATTGAGCGTTGTAACATTTAATATAAAGTTATTGAGCGGTGAACCCTCCTAGAATAGTAATTTGACAAAATTTATGAATAATCTTTACTAAAAATGATGCAACACAAAATTGACTTTCTATATAATATTATTTGAAGTATAAATGGAAAAGAGATAATTAATACTATATTCAAAAACTAACCGACACTTACTTAGAGACTTATTTTTTCTTCTAATCCCACACTTATTATGGGAGGGGAGGGAGTATATAGTTTGAATATATTATCTAGAGCTGATAAATTTACCCGTATATATTTTGGAGCAGCACAGCCTGTGCCCATCCATATCTAGAGAATCATAATTGAGCCCAAAAAAACAATGGGACCTTTCAAATATCAATAGCAGGAGGGGGTAGTTTCCAAAAATTCCACGAATTAAAGTCCTCCTGCAAAATTGGTCCAGCACGAAGCCGGGCAAAAGTAAGTTACATTTGTAGCATTATAAAGAAATCCTCAATCGCATGAAACTTGCATCAACAACATATCAATGTAACCAGGATGTAAATCACACAGCAGACAAATAGTATAAAAAGATCCACCTCAGCTCTCACACTCAACATGCTTTACTTTGAATTTTAAATTCTGGGAAGACTGAAATAAAATGTGGAACACATCCCCTAGGCTGACATTATGAACAAAAGAATAAAAGATAAAGCTTCTTCGAGATTAAACCTGCTCAGAAGAGCTCGTAGGGGGGAACATTCCATTCACGAGAGCATGCAAAGAAGTATATGATTTTGCATCAACACGACGGTTCACAACAACCTCTCCCTGCAAACTTAAAAATAAGAAAGGTTTGACAAACTTCAAACATTTTAGTGACTTCTAGCAAGTAGCAAATTTTTACTTTTAAAAAATAAGGATTTATTTACCCTGGGATTAATAATGAAGATTTTTCCTTTGGGAATTCCAACCTTAAGGTAGCTGATTTCATCAGTATCCCTATTACCAAAACCAGCATAGAACGGATTGCAATCAGAAGGAAAAAGTGCCTTGATGTCCTGATGACATAAAAATTCAAATTGACTTTAGCAACAATTATGAATAACGAGATTAAAATATATTAAAATATGTTCATTTAATTTGTAACATTGGGAAACAAACCTCTAAGCATGCAATTTTGAATTCATGGGGAACCCTCCTAATGACTGGAAATAGATTAAAAAAAAATTGTCTTAGTACAATATATTATAAAGGCAAGATCGGGGCATTTCATTCCCAGCCTTAAATTTTGATGAATCCTCATACTCTCTCATTCATACATCAAAAAATTAAGTGGCCAAAGAGTCATATATGAAAACTTAAAAAAATATATAAGATTTCTACATATATTGGTCACGCCTCCACATGGTAGTGTTTAATACAATCTAGAATAAAATAAAATAAAAACATCAGAATTCATGCTATAAAAGAAATCCAAAAGGATATTTTCCTATTAACAAACATGGCTGCACTGCTTGTGTCTTCGTGTGATATAAGGGGATAAAAGTGGAATGTTTTAATTTTATTCAATTTCACCCATTTATATTATTCTTAGAGGTTCCTAGTACAATAGTCTAGCCTTCCAAACCCTATTATACAAAAGCTCTTTGTCAAATTAAGGTAAAAGCAGGGTACAAGAGTCCAGACTCCAGATTTTCTTTTCAGGCTTTGCAGACTGCTTCTGCTAAATTACTTGAATTTTATCAGTGAACTTACCCATTCTTCAAGAAGACATTAAATACAATTTTTTTTATTATTTATTCACGTAAGATGTATTTCATTTAGGTTTAATCAGTAGTTCAGTACCTTTAGAAGGGAAAAATAACTGAAGACACGGTGAAGTGTAAGATTGATCAAAAACAACTTTTTAATAAATTTAATATCCTAGTTCCGTTTTCTTGTTCTGTCTGTGAAATCTGAGTTCAAGTATCAACAAGGACAATCTACTCCTACTCGCAAACGTAAAAAAAAAAAAAAGTTGTTCAACATGGAAGAAAGGGAATAATAAGCAGCAGCAGAGAAAAAGGACAAGCAGAGTCATTACCTTCTCGATATAGAGAGGGAAAAAGTCCATCGGGGGAAATAACAACAGGACCATCTGGTAAAACTTTTCCATCCTGCAATATACAAAATAAATATGAAAAATCAAAATGGCTTTCTTTTCTTCTTATTCTTTTGTCCATATGGATTGGTATCGGATTGCTAAATTTATACATTACCTGTCTAAGGTTAAGTAAGAATTGTCGAGTAATATAGGCCTGAGAAATTGAACGAGCACTGAGAAAAAGCAGTTGGTAGCCATTCTCCTGTAAATGTGCAATAAGGGAATAGACCATGAAAGACACCAAACCAGGTGAAAGGAGATCAAAAGACAGTTCTTATGGGTAGTGCATAAGTACAGTTCCCATCATAAGGCTACTCAGAAAATTAATCATATCAGAACGATAAAATTTTTAAAATACAAGCAAGCAATTTTGTGGTTTAAACAGATAAAGAAACCAACTATTTGTTGAGCATACCTACCCAAAAACTGCTCATATTCAAAGGATTTAACCACATTATCACATTGTAGCAGTCTCAAAACATTTAAACACATGGAAAAAGATAAACAAACCTTGATAGCGGAGAATAAATGTGCAACACCTGTCTGTGACCAGTCAATACCAACCAATGGCATGAACTGACCAAGAACATCTGACCTGTAAGACAGGAAACAAGAGAAAGAAATTACAATTGTCACACTATAGAGATAGATTTTTTGAAAATAACAACAGAAGAGAAGGAGAAGACATGGACTCTATTGGGTAAAAGCTTATTAGGATTTTAAAATTCCTGCAGGAAGAAGGAAAAGGAAATTCAAACAATTTCTACAATTTTATTTTCTGTTGTCCATCTTGTCTTACTTCCCAATATGCTATGCATAACATATTTCACATTCCAATAAAAATAATTTCACTTAAATATGCTAACTCTACTTTATCATCTCAAAATTGGCCAAGATATTGCTGCAACCTATAAATTTTCTCATAGAAATATTACCATAAATAGTCAATCAATTAAACTTTAAAGGTCTAATGGTAATTGTGAAACTAATTATACCAGCCAACTTTACAATAATCATAAGTAGAACGGACCAAGCAAGGATCTTTATCTACTTAAAAACTTTACATCCAATTGGGGATGTTGAATGGCAACTTGCCTACCTAGGTTGTCTAGCTTGATTATCTGATTACCCGAAGTGAATGACAATATAATTTTCCTTCCACAGGGTATGTCAAACTCCAATAAGTAGTTCATAAGCCAGATTGGGTTTACCAACTAAGCAGCAATAATTAAGGTCACATTCCTTCCATATAATCCCAATACACATCAAAGCATTGCCTTGTAAAGTTTTTCTTCATTAGAAATCAAACCCTTGTATTTTAAAACCATTAGAAACTTTTACATGCCTAATTTAAACAAGTTTGTAAATCAAAAGCTCAGCATATAAGAGAATAAGTCCTAGCACAGGTAAAACAAATCTATGGATACAGCTTCAAAAAAGGATGAAGAGAAACTGTGTATACAGGTTCAAAACAAATCTATGTTAGAAGCAAACATGAAGAGAAACTCCAGAGATGCCCCTGCATTCCTTCATAATTCTTCCAAGTGCATCCATCACAAGCATCCCATAATGATTAATGATTCTAAATTATAGGATCTATACTCCAAGCTTAATAAGTTGATAGATTTATGCTTGTATTGTGGTTACATTAGATATTTCTGCGTGTAAGAGCATACTAATTCAGAAAAGCGTATGATAGCAAGTATTGTTCACCAATCACCACCATAAAAACATCACATGGTAGAAGTTTACTGATATACACCAGAATATATTTTATACTGACATATATGATATATGTAAAGAAATTTGGGAAGCTCATGGAGGAATAAATCATATCATGGATATCTTTTCACTTGATAAAGGCAAGACATTTGATTCGGAATTTCAACAAGTTTTATGTTGGCTATTGAGGGATGAACACAACCCTCACCCTTTACCGTGGCTTGGGACTGGCTACAAGGCCATAGGTGGAATTAGGCAAGACAAATTTGATTGAAAAAAAGGAAAAATAATCAGCCAGCTCTGAGATTTAAATGAAATTTCTACGGGGCATATTTTTAGGTAATAACAAGTGTCTTCATTTTGTAGGTAACATCAAATTAACAATAAGAAAGAAAAACAACTTTTAAAAGTATGAATATTAACAAGAGTTGTTTGAGTGCATTATCTATTATAAAAACAGCTTCATTTTCCAAAAGATAAATCCTTACCTTGTAATCGTACCATCCACATCTGAGATCACTATACGAGTGTTCCATTTCCACAAATATATTCGAGCATCAACCTGTTAGTCAAACATAAAATATAAGAAATAATAGTAGATGAGAGATTTTAATAAAAGAAATGTACATAAAAGGAAACAAGCAAACTTCATGTTTTTAAAATAAAATTATAGAAACTCATGATTATTGACCTGCTGCTTCCCCAGCACAGCTGTAGAGAAAGTGAAGGTTACAGTATTCATCCCGTCCTTCAGATTCAACGAAGCTAGCTGTTCAGAAGTTGGAGTTGTTATCCTAACCTTCTTTTTCAGTTTATTGGGTTTGAGGTCATTTTTGTTCATATCTGTGCCAATCGTATTCTCTGGAGAATTACCCAAAGTAGTGCCTTTGGCATCACTTGGAGGAGGAGGCAACATAGACTTTCTAGATCCTGTTCTCCTCAAGGAGAAAGGCCAAATTCTCCAATTTCCACCAGGGGGAGGGTGGTGTGGTGATGGATCATCTCCTGTATGATTTTCATCAACTTGGTCATCAGGAATCATGCCCTTCAGTTTTAACATATATGGACTTTCAAAAGACACCATGCCAAAATCCCATGAAAAATAATGTTAATCAATCTTAATAACCAGCCTATTATCCCCCAGGGTGCCAGGAAGTAAATTTATTTACCAACCAGATATTCAGAATTGAATGCTTTAGAAGTACAGTCAGCTTCCATCCTTTCATACAACAAGTGCTTACAAAGATTGTTGTTCGCATAAATGATAAATCAGTATGGTAACTACCTACAGGATACAGTTTAATGTTTGAGAAGCCTTTTTCAAAGCTACAACAATAACAAAACCCTTCATTTTGCTCCAACAAAATACACAAGTCTGCTCAAACTAAATTATTGTTCAAAAAAGAAAGTCACTTCTAAATCTTCAGTGAAATTTACAACTTGTTTCTGTAAAATGTATAACAATTATCATTCCATAAAAACAGTATGTTCAGTACACTACTAGAAGAAGATGAAATATTGTTAGACATGGATTGTTTTCAATTCAGTTGACAAACATCTAGTAGAAGTTATCTTACCAAGGGGAAGCTTCAGAACAGTATCTTGGAGTTCCCCAGAGTCATGGTAATCCTTGGCACCTGGCTCCTCATGTGATAACTGGTTTCCTCTGTCTTCATCTAATTTTAGACATTTCAATTCATCCTTTCCAGGAAATTCCCATGGTAAGGATGTGGGTTTTGAGTCCAGCGATTGACTAAAAGGATAACGAACATGTCGGACCATGCTGTCACCACTAGAAATATTTGGCAAGGATCCTGAATGCTGCCCAACTTCCTCCCCAGCAGCTTCATTTCTAGGAATAGCCATGGGACTGGATATTACTGCTAACTTTTTGGTGTCATTCTCATAAGAAACATGATCTTCTTTATCTGCATGTTCAGGGGAGAATGATCTCCTGAATCGATCATTGATGACGGTTTCATCAAGGTCACTAAAAAGGAAATTTTCATCCTCTGAAGTTGGTGATGGTGATCTCCTTGACATTTTTCTAAGTAAACAATCATCAACAGAGTCCAGAGGAAACGATAACATGCTAGAATCATTATTATCCTTTGTATTATTAGCATCTAAGACATGGTCATCCAGGCTGCTGTAAGATGAAGGTTTGATAACACAATTTGGTGTAAATTTCTCACTCAAAGAATGTCCTAGGCCCTTTTTGACAGTTTGAGGTTTTGGAGATGTCGGTTGCTCTTCAACATCCACCTCATTGTTTGCACTATCATCAGAATCTGAACAATCTGTTTTCTGAACTCGAGAATGTAACTCAGAGACCTCCAATATTGGCATCCCAACACCAGCATTCTCAAGAACTTCCTCAGCTTCTGCACCCTAAAGGATAACTTTAATGTGTCAGTGTCAACTAAAACAGAGTAAATATTTGCTTGATTTAATTATAAGCGAGGCTATACTGTTATATCTTCATACAAGAACCTCCTAGTACTTTAATACCTTAAGAACATAAAAAGTTTTAAATACTTTCTTTATATAGTAAGTGGGGGGATTAGAAGAAGATTTTGAGGATTGAGAATGTCTTTTTAATTATTCCAGTTGACATGTAAAATATTCCATGCAAAGAATTTAGACAACTTAAATATAGTACCATAAATACAAGTGTTATTGTTCTCCAATCAAAATTGGCTGTGTTATATTTTATTCTGGTCACGGCTGCTGACCTTCAATGCCACCATCAATTTCATCTCAGTAAATAAAATTGGCATCTTGGTAGCAGTGTCTATACACTATATAGCTAGTTTTGATTAGAGAATATTATTGCTTAGGTACTATTTAGTTTTGTCCAATTCCTCAATCCAAAACCATAGATGAAGGCTACTTGTCCATGAATTTGTCAATTTACCTCAGATAACAGTATAGTTGCACCATGCAAAACTTCATCTTGGACACGGACATGGACTTCTTCACATCCTGCGCCAGCAAGGTACATCACCTCAGGAGCTTGTTCACTAGAACAATCCACGTCCAAGTTAGTCTCTGATGTTTCACGGCAAACCCCATCAGCTGAAACGTCCTCTGTAGAAACATCATTACCATTATCACCGGAAACCTCTTCTCCATTCAATTCCTTCTCTACAAGCTTCACCTCCACACATGCAACTTGCACGTCAGACCCTGCAATATCATACACAACTTCCTTCCCATTCAAGCTACACGCGCCATCAGTACAAGATTCCTCCTTCAACCCACCATTGTCCATGACTGCATTAGCATCCCCAGGCGAGTTAGCAAGAACGTTTTGACCGTCTTCCGCGGAGAGATTGGTGGACCACTTGATGTCTAACAAGTTAGCTGCAATCTCAGCACGCTCCAAAGAACCAACCCTGTTCCCAATTCCATCACCGTCTCCATCATCCCTCTTCAAAGACCTTCGCCCAAACACAAGGCCAAGTATCCGAGAGCGACGAGAACCAGCCCGGCCCACAACCTCATCACCATCATAGTTGCAACTTTTGGACCTGAGATTGCGAGGGTGAGAGAGATCATCTGCGTCATCGCCAGAAGAAGATGGAAACAATAAATTAGCTTCTTCTTGTGAATCGATTTCCCTGAGAAAGTAAGCTTCCCCCTTATGATCCAGGTGCATTTGGAAACCAGCGTTCACCCCATTGACACATATATCAACCACCTTTTCCCTTGCCTTCAAAACCCCCTGGAATTTACCAAATCGGACATACCAAGGAGAAGACTTGAAACTCCCATCTTGCTGTTCCACCACCACAATATCGACGGCGCCACCGAAGGGATGAAAGGGACCTGAAACCGTGTATACGCCCTGACTAATTATTCTACCCACCGCTTGCATCCTCCCCAATTATTCTACCCCTTATCATAAATTCAATCTTGCTTTCGTAACGCCCAAACTGATCCACAATATAAAATAAATAATTAAAAATTAAAAACAACACATGGATTGAATTAGATTCAATAATTCAACTCGTCCGAAGGCGCGATCGTAATTATAAAAAGCAGGACGGAATCTGGGGGAAAATATAGATCGCGGAATCATTTGATTAGAGACGGAAAAGAAGAAAAAAAAAAGCGCGAATTAGGACATAGTGTTTGGATTCCGAGGAGTGTGTGTGAGCTTAACGTGAAGGGCGTTGTCCCGTGTTGTCGCGGCGGGACGAGGAAGAAAAGTCGTTGGTGGTGAAGACGAAAAAGAATTAAGAGTTACTTACGTGGGTGGATGTGGGGCCCACATTTCGATATTCATTGCCTCTTTTCGCACCGTTCGATCCGTGCTGCTTGCTTCACGCTTCTTCCTTCTCACCATTTCACACACAAATCAAATGACTAAACTAAAGTCATTCTTCCTATAATCTTTATTAATTTATGCACTCCTAAACAACTTTACTACTTAACACTCAAATAACACTTTTTTTTTTATTAAAGTATTTCACTAATAATTATATCATTCGCGTATGTTGCTGAGAAAATGTTTTATTGAAAGAGATATTTAATAATGTTGTACAGTACCTCCAAAATAAATTGGTTTTTTGAGATAAGCATGTAGACACCAAAAATGGTTTTATAAAGATTATGTTTTTTTTTTAATATTACTATATTTAATTGAACCAAAAAAAAAAATAATAATGTAAACACCCATCACTTTCCCATCCATGACTGCTGGACCACTAATATGAGAGGTGGATTACGTAGTGAACTCTGATTATGATCCTCTCATGCCAAGTTGTTTTCTTTGGAAAGAATGGGACCAAAGCGAACTCAAACTTTTCTGTGGATGGCTGCGCGATGGACAAAATGATACAAACATATGACATTGTATGTGTTTTTACCTGTGGGACCAGTTTGAATGAACCTTTCGATTGTTGTCTCGGTTTTCACTTTTCAGTATGTTTGTTTCTCCGATTAAACCCACTTGGACGCCAATTTGTGGATTTGGAACTCTCTAGCTAAGATGCATTGGAAAGGTGAACAACACAACGTAAAGACATGGTCTTAGATTAAGGTTAATACGGATGGATTTGTTATTCTAATGTTTTCGTGTAATATTGGCTATTGCTCCATAATTCACGTTGAGCCATGGCCTTTCGTATTGCTAAGAGGCGAGGTTTCTTTGAGTCTGATTCTAGATGCGCAATATGTTTTCTTGGATTCTGATTTTCCTAAGCTACATAATTACGTGTTTGGTTCAGATTTTTAACGTGATTTATCACGTTTACATGAAAACTATTAATTATAACTTTTACGTTTTAAACGTGATTCTTGTTTTGAATCACGTTTTAGACGTGTTACCAAATATGCACTAAAGTTCAAAGACTTATTATTGTACCGGAGAGGAAGATCTAATTAGGATATCTTTCGCAAAGACAAATTCTCTAACGATATAATAAATTAAATCATGTGCTTAACAACATAAAACGAGGATAGGTCATAATGAAACTCACCGATTTTCATGTTAAGTACATGACTCAATTTGTCATACCACTATCAAGAGAATTTACTATATATATTAATGAAAATATATGTTTATAAATTTTAGTTTTTGTAATATAATTATTTTATAATATCTTTTTTTAAACATTACATAAATTAGTTTTTATGATGTAAGAATTCATCTTATGAAAATTAATTTTTGTAATGTAAATTTTTTAGAAAATTACAAAAGCTAGTTTTTTGTAATATACAAATAAAATAATATTACAAAAAATAATTTACGTAGAACATAACTAAATTATATAAAGTAGTTTATATATGTATAAACACACACACGAAAAGTAGTGGGGGTATTAGCGTGGGCCTTAGCTAATAGAGGACTTTGTTCTTTGGTCCTTTTTGTCTCTATTGGCCCAATTGCTTGAACAAAACTTTAGTTTGAGTCTAACACGTGTTGTGCAATCAGTGACATATGCTTTATGATAAATTTATAATATTAAAATATAATATTAAAATAAGTTAAATATTTAAATACTAATTAAAAGGTGCATATAATATTAAAAAAATTAAAATGTAAGCAAAATACTTTTGAGTCTGTTGCCATTTCACTTTTTTTTATTTTTTTTATTTTACTGTGCTGTTTGTACCTTTATTTAATTTTATAATTTATTTAAAAATATAAAAGATGTTAGCATAAAATTATTAATTTTATGAATATTAAAAAATGGATAATTATTTTAGTAATTATACACGTTTAGGACAATTACTTACCATTTTTTATATTTAATTTTTATAATTTATTTAAAAAAAATTTAATTTTATATAAAACTGTAAATTAATAATAATTAAATTTTTTTTTAATTCTTTTTTAGCATCTCTAAAATGTATAAAAAATTGTAACAAATTTTTAATTTCTAGTTTTTAAACTAACAAAATTTCAATCTCACATACATGTTTTTTTTTAAATTTTAATTATCTTTCTTAATTTTAATTTTAATTATCTTTCTTAATATTTAATTTATTATTTTAATATTTTCAAGTTATAGTGTCTAGTGGTCGGAAGAGGAACCGGATTTGAAGGAAGGAAGAGGAGAGGCGGGTAGAGAAATGGTTGAACGCAAACCAGCGTCTTCATCGGTGAGGTAGCGAAGCCTATTCTGGCGAGTGAGCCTGCGTTGCTGAATGGTGGGCGAAGGGTTGTTAGAGTTAGCGGTGCTCATTGCTGATTCTTGAGATGGTCGTCATGCGTTTCGCGTTTTGGTAAGTGCCCGGGGAAGGAAACACCTACGCTGCTTCTTTGCTTCCTCTATTTTCCAATTTCCCTTCTCTTGGGTTGAATGCGCAATATTTTCGCTTTCATGGTCAACACTTCTGACTTTGGATTAAATTAATGTTATTATGTTTGTTGAAAGGAAAATTCAAGAGGAGTGAGTCGTCTTCCCTCTTGACCTGGGCTTCCTAGTTCCTACTCCAAACTTATCCCAATACTTCTCCTGTCATGTCAACTCACAAACTCCACCCCTTTGTTTCTTTCACATTTACTAATCTCTTCTTTCACACTCTTTTTCATTATTTAGTCCTTTTAATATTTTAACTTTCTATATATATATATTTTTGCTGCCTAAAGTGTCTAATTTCTTAATGTATGAATATTTATTCAACAAATTGACTTTTTCTAAAACATGTTATTTTCTTCGTATGAAACTAGAGCTCAAGCTTTATTGGTCTTTTTTTTTTTGTTTGTCTCCTCGATACGAGGGAGGCACCTCAAAGGGTGATATTTATTCAACAAATTGACTTTTTCTAAAACATGTTATTTTCTTCGTATGAACCTAGAGCTTGAAGCTTTATTGGTCTTTTTTTTTTGTTCGTTCTTGAAGTATCCACAGCCGGAAGCAGTAACTAATCTCCTCGCTACGTTGGATGCACCTAAAAAGGTGGGATAGCTGGCCCCAAGATTTAACGCGGCTGCATACACAAGGCAGGATTCGAACCCCTGACCTTGCTTAAGCATGGATCAACTCCTACCGCTGAACCACACGCTTGGGGTTAAGCTTTATTGGTCTTTAGTTTTCATTCATGTGATTTTATTTTATTTAATGTTTGATGATCCTTTAATGGTAACAAATATTAATTCGAATGAATATATTTTATATAATTTAAAAATTATAAGAAAAAAGTGTGTAAATTAATTTAAGATTATAAAACACGTGACGTGACCCTCAAAGGAAGATACAAAAATCTAGGACACGAGGATGAGAAAAAAAAAATGAATAAAAAATTACGATTGCTATTACACAGAAATAGTCAGAGAAACCCGTTTGACAAAACTCTCCATTGCGCACGTCCCTAACTTAACGAACCGATTGGTTTTGTGAAGCTTAATTTATATTTTTTTTATTAGTAAAAAAAGAGAACGACGGTGCTACGGTTCTAATCTTAAATTTTGTAAATGCTACCTCAATTCTTAGTTTCTTACCGCTAACCCGATCCCAGTACTTCTTCAATTTATACTTTGTCAGAGTTTGTATATTATGTTTTTTTTTTCTTTTTTTATTCAAACCTTAGTTTTAACTTTAAGCATCATTTTGGTAAAGACAAACGAAAAAAAGGTGAGAAATAGAAAATGAAAAAATAAATGAGTAAAAATAAAAAAGAAATAAAGTAAAAAATCACTTTTCTTATTTTAAAGAAATATGAGAGTAAAGAAAAAAAGAGAAATAAAAAATTAATCAATTGTTAATAATCATAATAAAATATTCATGTAATCGACGTCGTAATTAATTGTATTTTTTAATTAATTTGTGATTTTTTTTTAAATAATTGTGACAGTTTCGAAACCATGGTATTTATAAAAAAATTATTGAAAAAAATATTGTGATGGTTTGTACACTATCAATATCTAATCAAATAAATATAAAAAAAATGTGACAATTTCTATAATTGTGAGTTGTGAAAGAGGAGAGGCGGGTAGAGAAATGGTTGAACGCAAACCAGCGTCTTCATCGGTGAGGTAGCGAAGCCTATTCTGGCGAGTGAGCCTGCGTTGCTGAATGGTGGGCGAAGGGTTGTTAGAGTTAGCGGTGCTCATTGCTGATTCTTGAGATGGTCGTCATGCGTTTCGCGTTTTGGTAAGTGCCCGGGGAAGGAAACACCTACGCTGCTTCTTTGCTTCCTCTATTTTCCAATTTCCCTTCTCTTGGGTTGAATGCGCAATATTTTCGCTTTCATGGTCAACACTTCTGACTTTGGATTAAATTAATGTTATTATGTTTGTTGAAAGGAAAATTCAAGAGGAGTGAGTCGTCTTCCCTCTTGACCTGGGCTTCCTAGTTCCTACTCCAAACTTATCCCAATACTTCTCCTGTCATGTCAACTCACAAACTCCACCCCTTTGTTTCTTTCACATTTACTAATCTCTTCTTTCACACTCTTTTTCATTATTTAGTCCTTTTAATATTTTAACTTTCTATATATATATATTTTTGCTGCCTAAAGTGTCTAATTTCTTAATGTATGAATATTTATTCAACAAATTGACTTTTTCTAAAACATGTTATTTTCTTCGTATGAAACTAGAGCTCAAGCTTTATTGGTCTTTTTTTTTTTGTTTGTCTCCTCGATACGAGGGAGGCACCTCAAAGGGTGATATTTATTCAACAAATTGACTTTTTCTAAAACATGTTATTTTCTTCGTATGAACCTAGAGCTTGAAGCTTTATTGGTCTTTTTTTTTTGTTCGTTCTTGAAGTATCCA